TGTAAGTGCTTATGAAAAGAAAAAAAAAAGCTTGGTAAGACTGCTGAATGAACAAATTTGTAGTATTTAATAGCTTAGTCAAGGTAGACATCATCAAGAAAGGAAGAGAATAGTGAGGAAACAAAAAACAGTTTTCTTTTCGTATCCAAAGAACAGGAGTGGAAGCCAGGGTGACTGAAGCAGGAGAGTTTTGTGAGATGATGAAACAAAGAATGAGTGGGAATACAGCATACTCAGCTTTAGAGGACAGCACGCCTGTAATCCTAACTACTCAAGAGACTGAGATATGAGGATCACGGTTCAAAGCCTGCCCAGGCAAGAAAGTCCATGAAACTCTCATCTCCAATTAACCACCGGAAAAACCAGAAGTAGTGGCTCAAGTGGTAGAGTGCCTACCTTGAGTTGAAGAGCTTAAGGACAGTGCCTAGGCCCAGAGTTCAAGTCTCACAACCAGAATAAAAAGAAAAAAAGAAATCCTCTTCGCAAAGAATAGGGTACCAAGGAAGGATTTTAGGTAGGTGAGCTATGTGAACTGACTTAAATTTTAAATAGAATCTAAAATTAAGCAAAGAATACTTTAAAATGTTATGACCAATATATTGTTCAACCTTCATCATATGTATGAATCCCTGTATACCATCCTCCTCTCAGAATAACATAGAAAATATTAATCTCAGAGTATCTTACATAACTTCTATAAGGAGAGATAAAGTAAGAAGTAAGAAGTTAAGTCTAAAGTGGTTGAACAAGTTTATACTCCCACCAACAATGAAGTAAGGTTCCTTTCTGTCCACATCCCCTCCAGCATCTGTTGTTATTAGAGTTCTTGATTTTTGCCATTCTAACTGGGGTGAGGTGGTATCTCAATGTTGTTTTGATTTGCATTTCTTTTATGGCTAGGGAGGTTGAGCATTTCTTCATGTGTCTATTGGCCTTCCTTCTTTCTTCTTCAGAGAAGTTTCTCTTTATGTCATTAGCCCACTTATTTATTGTGCAGTTGTTTCTTTGAGTAGTATGGAGGTTCCTAAAAAGACTCCATATAGAGCTCCCCTATGACCCAGCAGTCCCACTTTTGGGCATTTACCCAAATGTTTACAAACAAGACCACACTAAAGTTACCAGCACAACATTATTTACCATAGCTAAGATCTGGAACCAATCCAGATGCCCCTCAGTAGATGAATTGATCAAGAAAATGTGGTATATATACACAATGGAATTCTATGCCTCCATCAGAAAGAATGACATTGCCCCATTTGTTAGGAAATGGAAAGACTTGGAAAAAATTATATTAAGTGAAGTAAGCCAAGCCCAAAGAAACATAGGTCCCATGATCTCCCTTATTTGCAATATCTAGTATATGTATGAGTCAAGCAGAAAAGGTCAGATAAGGTGATGTTAAGAAAATGAACCCTAAGGTATGTATTTAAATGTTTTTTTCTTTCATGCATTTGTTTCTAACGCAATTATAAGATTATTTCTTTGTTGCTTTGTATGTCCCTCCCCCACAGTATAACTCCTGCTTTCACTGTATTTGATGTCGGTATAATTTGTGGAGAGGAAGGGGAAAAACAAGTGGTTTAAATAAGGATACAGGTGAACCTGTTGCAACAATGAGAAGTACAAGTTGGCATGTCGAAAATGAACTTTACAAGGGGGGGAGGGGAGGATGGGGGGGAGGGAGGATTGGAAGGGGGAAGGGTAAACAAAGGAGGAGGCTACAATGCTTGATAAGGAATGTACTCATTATCTTGCCCATGTAATTGTAGCTCCTCTGTACAGTATTTTCACATTAAAAAAATTAGTATTTCAAAAAAAAAGAAGTTAAGTCTAACTTGTAGTTAACAACTAGTTTCTCTCTCCTAAGCATGAATTCATAATAAAGTTTTAAAGAAGTTAAAATATTGAGATTAACTATTTAGATTAATTGTATATGCCATTCTTTTCAATATTATCAATTGAATGGCAATGAAAATCTACTTTTTTAAATAACAAATGTGCATTCAGACAAGTATTAAATGGTCAAATAACTGCTAAGGACTACAGCTGTAGTGTGTGTGTGGGGGGGGAGTGTATGTGTGTGTGTGATAGTTCTTGAACTCAGGGCCTAGGCCTGTCCCTTAGCTTTTTTGCTCAAGAAAAGACCGCTACCCTATGAGCCACAGCTCTACTCCTGAGTTTTTGTTGGTTAATTGAAGGTAAGAGTCTCATAGGCTTTTCTTCTGTGGCTGGCTTTAAACCGTGATCCTTAACTCAGGCCTAAATAGCTAGGATTATAGATGTGAGCCACAGAACCCAGTCCACAGGTGGTATTCTATCTAACCTGTCTTCAGAGTATGTAGCCAGGTTATAGTATATATTATGTATGTAGTATATAGCTAGGTTATCTTACCGCACCACTCCTTTATGGAGTGAAAATCAATGTATCACCTCAAGATGCTTAACTAAAACTCCAGGCAACAATGAGTTAATTCCATTCTTTGGATGATCAACTGGTTTCAGAAATCTAACAGTCAGCATTCATCATACGGTCACAATGATATGTGAATCAGTATTTTGTTCCTTAAATCACAGATGCTTTATGATACAATATCTTGCCTCTGTGAGCTTACAACCTTATGGAGGTAAGAGGGGATACACAGAGATGTAGCAAATAATACAAGATAACACTAAGTCCCAAATGAGATCTAGAGCTAATAACTGCTAAAAAACAAAAAAGTCAATAGAAGGAAAAAAGGAAGCCTGGTTATACAAAATCTTTTCTATAGATGACTGGTGTTAACATGATTTGTAGAGAAAAGGTGGGTTGTTGGTCAGCAGAGAAGAGGAAAAAAACATGGCAGTCAGAGGGACTATTATGAACAAAGGCAAAAAAGAGCAACTAGAGAGATGAGATGTCAAGAGCAAATGAATAGATATGTTTGCAGTGCAAAGCGATGAAAACTGAGTAAAGTGGGAAACAAAAAGTAGACAATGGAAACCTTATTAAATTGGGAATTTAAGAAAGGAGGAAAGAAATGGACATTTGGTAAGCTCGCCCTGTAGCGCCCATGCTTCTTGCAGGCTGTGGTTTTGTGAAATCCTCACAGCGTGGTTAGAAGATAGAAAGGCAGATATGCTATGGCTACTGTCAATGAAAGGAACAGATATAAAGGCCAAGATATAGCATTCTATCCACAATGAAGCAGAATCTCAGTCTAGTCCTGTTTCCCTTCAAGGCTTACGTGCATTTCCCTGTCCCACATAACAACTCCCAGATGTAATGCATAGTCACCAAAATATTTAATTAAGAAAAGAGAGTGGCATATCCAAAGCAGTGAAGACTAAAACTTATCAGACTATGAGATATTAGCATATGTTCAATATCAGAAGATTGAAGAAACAAGAGTAAAGTAAGAAAAAAGCTAGTAACCAAATAACAAGGCAGCAATAATCTGTAATTGACTAAATGGTAAGAATTTTTTGTCATTTATTTTGGCATATATGTTAATAAATGAAAAAAATTCAGATTTAATGAATAAAATTTTAAAAATAAGAATTTAACAAATACCATAAATGAAATATCAATAAGTCAACACAAATACCCAAACCCTACTACACAACTATAAAACCAAAGTGCAAATACTCTTCCTCAAAACACAAAGAGACAAAGTTGAGGCCTAGCTTTGATGTTTGAAAATGCATTTGGGCAGTATATGATTTATTTTAAAATAATAAAATCTGAGGGTAAAGGAAAATTATTTTTCTATTAGCCAATTAATGTAATGTGTTATGTCAATGACTATTATTCCTCACTTTGATTTCTCTCTCTAAACGCAAGGTACTACTTAGAAATTCAAGTCAAACTAATATTTACGTGGCATATTATTTAACAAGAAGTTGGGTCTCTTCTGAATTTTTCCTACCCCTGGATAATTGAAATGATGCAATTTCCAAAGATACACTGAAAATTGACAACTAGCTATATTTATTCAAAGCCATTATTTGCATAAATATTCAAGCATTGGATCAACACAAATATTTTAAGAAACTTATTGTAAAGTTGCCAAACTTGAACATATCCAAGATAACCATGTAACCTCTGAAATCTAGTGTTTATGTAATTTATTTTTAAGTTGTAAACAATTTGTAAACATCTAAGTTATGTGTAAAGAGCACATTTATCATATACACAAGATGTTAATTATATGTGCATATAAATGCACACAGAAAAAGAAACAGAGACAAAGAAGAGAGATACAAGGAGACACACACGGTGGGTGGTTGAGAGAGAGAGATAACAATACTTGATGAGTAACAATGTTTTGACTCATCCTCCTTTTAGGAATTACACACCTACCCTGCTTACACCTAACTCAGTAGTGTCACTTAATAGGACTGAAGGATAATTCAATCATAACATATTAACCAAGACCAAATTCTTTTGCCTTTATGAATAGAAATGTATTTGCTTTTCTGACTGGAAAGTTCATGCTTCAAGTTTGAAATCAAACTGTGCCACAATCCAGAAATTTAGGTTCATATCCAATGTGTATCTAAGATGTCTTCAAAAGTTTCAAGAAGGTAAATCTGAACTGCCATTTAGAAATATCATTTATGTATGCAAAGAAATATCATTATAAAATCCTAAAAATCTGTTTGTTGAAATGCAATTCTGACATGTTTTGTTTCCTTTCATACATTGTGTTTGACATAGCCATAACTACTCAGTGCGGGAAAGCTTTCACATACACTAAGCATGTTAAACACAGCCTTGTAGAAATAAATTTGTCTGCAAACTGTTCACACAAAAAGACTAGGCTCTTTATGACTTTAGGTCTTCTATAAAAGATAAGTTAAAAGCATTAGATGTAGAGAAAAGGAAGAGTAGATAAGGTTTATTCCATACATCTTACTTTTTCATCTATGATTTTGAATATACAGTAATGTATTCATATTAGCCTTAACTTTAAAAGGCATTATTTTATGAAAGCTTAAAAAAAAAGGAAAACTATTTTTACCTCCCAGTCCTGGTCTAAGCCGATTATCGTAACCATCCAGAAGTCTGTCTAGAATTCTTGTAAAGATGGTAATGTTATTTTTAGCCTCATCTTCTTGGATGTTAGCCAGCACCAACCTAAACAGATAATTTCACAAGCTGATATATATATATATATACATACATATATATATGCACATGTATGTTTTGCAAGTGAGGCATGCTCTTCCTCCTTGGCTTGAATTTTAAGCTCTCTAAGCAATTTGTGTCATACATTTTTCTCCTTTTTTCATATCTTTAAATATGGTTATAAGGAAGGCAAACATGCTGTTTAAAATGGATACTGAGAAGTATACTCTCAGAAGTTTGGTGATAAAACTATTTGAGGTTTCTAACACTTAATTTTATATAACATGATTTTCTCTAAACCCATGCCCTGATTATTTATGATTATTTATCATCACATGAAAAATTATTATTACGGTTATTGTAGGTTAGAAAAGTTCATTAATCAAAGGGATTTCTAAAATAATTCTTCGGTGTTTTAAACAGTAATTAGAAAAAGCAGTTGCCTGCTTGGAGGCAAAAAATTTCTTTATCTTCCTCACACATATCCTTCTTTATCTTTTACATCTTTTCGTTTTAGAAACCAGGATTGTTTTCTTACTTTGGGTATACCTCCACCCAATGGCCAAGTACAATATAGACATCAGGGGAACTCTACTGGCTGAGTGCCAGCCTTAGTATAGCCAAGAGGTAGAGATGGACTTTGAAAATATCAGCAACAACACAGGAATGCAGAGAGTCTTGGAGGGCTGGTCCTCCTGTCTGCTCTCAGGAGAGAGGAAGGAGGCCAAATCAAGACCAAAATGTCCAGTATTTTTTCTCTCTTTTTTTGTGATAAATTTGTAGGAAGATGGACTTAGAGTATCATCAGAAAAGGTTAAAAACAGTGCTTTTTCTCCATTATTCTCCATCATAAAGTCAAAAATCTGATTTTATGAAATTCAGAAATTTGATGCAGAAACAACTCCATGTATAAGACAGAATGTCCCTTGTCACTGTCATCATTTCTTTCCCCCTCAGAATGATTCAGAGACTTAAATTACTGGCCCAAAAAAAGAATCCTTTATATAATAGAATAAAATACTGGCATGAGCATTACTGGTCAAATATAGAACAGAAAACTAGTAGAGAGTTTAAAGCACTGAGGATTTTTCAATGATTACTACTTGTCATAGATTATTCATGCCTTTTAAAATCAAAGATTCTATATAATTACATTCTGATCAAGGTATATTGTGTAACACACCATTGGCACTGGCCATTTGCATTTAAATGAATATTGTGCTATTGGCTAAAAATAGAGAATCTCAAAAAACTGGTAACCAACTTCAAATGAATACTGCTTTCAGAGTAGAATAAATTGTAAAATACTAATAACAAGAAAAACATTTTCATAGTATATAAATAAATCAGTTACATCCATTAGCCTCAAAAGTTTCTATATTGCTTACTTAAGCTGATTTTAAGACAAATCCTAAAGACTAGTCATAAAATTCCAAGTAGAGCATTCTATTCAAAGTAGTTTTTAATCACATTTTATATTTTCTTTTTAAAGACAATATTCAGATGTTAGAGTTTTCAATTAAATAATGTTTTTATATGCAGTTTTCTTTTCAGTTCCAGAAAATATGCTCACACTTTGACCATTACTTTGACAGGAATACAATAATTAAAAAGAACATAATGACATTTTTAAAGCCATACTCATGAGAGCGTGCTTTTAAAAAAATTCTCATCCTCATGACATTAGAGATGTTCCCTGATGGTAAAACATTTTTTTCTTAAAAAAGAAATCAGAAAAGATTACAGCTAAGATGTAGTTTTTGAAAACAACAAAAATTAACTTCATGTTTGGAAAAGGCAGACCAAATTAGTTACACATTTGAAATGAATACTCTTTTGGACTTTAGTCATTTAAACAATGAAAGATCTCCAAATAAATAATATGGAAAGTTGATTAATAGATCAAGCTTTTGTTGTATTGTTTTGAATTGAGAGATTGTATACTACCTCCACCTAGAGGTTTAAGACTCACACGTCATTTGGATTTTCCATGTTGACTGAAAGCACCAAGACCATTTAAAAAAAGAAAAGGGGGTGGGGGAGACTGAGTTCCCATTCACATCACTTAGCTGGTACTTTTCTGGTATCTTGGAGGAACTTGGTCTTTTTTACATTCTGGAATTATTATAAGTACACATAGCCTAACCACTTCTTTTTCCTTTCAGAATATGCCATGAAATGGACATCCTCAGTGACTTTTCTTGTATAGAAATTTTTCTATTCACTTTTGCATTTAACTGCTAAAAAGCAAGAAGTACTGAACTTCTGTCATTAATGCCACTTCATACTTCACTGTCTTACTCCAATCTTGTTTAATAGAAATAATGCTTCAAAACACCCTGATCCTCTTAATACCACAGATTGGCATTCAAAACACACACCTTTAACCCTGACTTAAAAAGAGTCAAACACAAGAAATGTCTCACCTGGCTGGGTCCCACACCAAGAAAACAAGAAGCAGAGACTGCATATTGTAGATGCTTCCTCTCCTCTCCATCACCCCTCTTTGCAAAGCCATTGGAGGGGGGAAAAATAAACACACACTTAACACTGCCTTCAGTCCCACCATCCGAGTAACCCCAAATAATGCAATTACATTTGCAGATTTGAGTTCCGCTATTGAAGATACTCCAATGGACTGAGCGCATATATAGAAAATATATTATATATAATGGAATTATTGGGGAGGAGGATTTTTTAAATAGCAGAATGACCATCCTCAGACCCTCCTCTCCCAGGAAACCCCCATCCTCCCCCTCCAAGCCCGATCGTCAGCAAATACTACATTTTGTGCACACATGAAATGCACAACGCCTAGGACTTCAAAGCTGAGATAAACTAGAATAGGTTGGAGGGGTGAAGGGAAAAGAGGAGGAGAGATGGAGACTTCACTCTATGACCCCCCCCTCCTCCCCGGCCCTCTAGCAAGACCACCTTGGCAACCACAGAAAGAAAAGCAAGGAGTAACCAGCCCACTTTTCCAATGATTCCCCTTTTTTCGTTACCATGCATCGCGATCTCACGCCCTCCCTAGCACTTACACAAAATAAAATAACAGGGGGCGGGGGGGGGAATCAAAGCAACGCAAACATCTCTCTTCCTGGACCATGCACACGTTTTGCCCAAGACTATGTCCAGGACCCAGCCTGAGCGCGGCGGGAGGGGGGGGGTTCCCTATCAAGGGCTGCTGCGAAATGATGCGTTTGACAGCTGCCCTGGAACCAACGACCACGATTCGAGGAGGAGCGTGAGGCTCTGAGCCCACAGCAGCCAGGCAGGCAAGGGCGAGCACTGTGTACAAAGTTGAAGACTATAAAAGAGCTGGGCTACCCAGCTGCCCGGCAGGCTCTGGGCTCTCATTGTAGTTGCCAATCTGCTTCTGGGAAGGAGTACTGAGAGGGTGATTATTGAAAGAATCTGGAGAGGAGAGGGGACCCGAGCCCCATCCGTGTCGGGGGGCGGGGGGGACGGGAGAGGAGGCATGCACGCCCAGGCAAAGGCGAACGGGGAAAGGTCTTGGTTGGAAACAACGCGTGCCACCCTACCTGCACGGCCAGCAGAATTCGACGTTTTCCTCCTGGTCTCCTCCTTTTGCTTTAATCTTGATGAGATATAGGAAACTTGAGAGAGAGAGAGAGAGAGAGAGACTGCAGCAGCGCTGGGTTGGTGGTATGAGTACAAGAAGGCGTCCGTCCGTAGTGGCGGTGATGGGCGGAGGAGGAGGGGGGAGGAGGAGGAGAAGGAGGGGGAGGAGGAGGAGGAGGAGGTCGGGGGATGGGGAGCGATGGCTGGAGGGGGATCGGGCGGAGGCACGGTGCGCGCCGGCAGTGGCGGGCACGGGCCCCGCGCCTGGAGAAGGAGGAGTCAGGCTGGGGAGGTTCCCAGGAAGGCAGGGACCCCACCTCCACCTCCCTCCATCGTACCCCTCCTCCTGCCTCCCTCCTCACCCCAGGCACCTGCAGTGGCACAGCCCGGGCTGTGCGGGGCTCCCCCTGTGCGCCCCGAGCGCTGCTCCCGGCGCCCACGCCGAGCAGCAGGGACAGAGCCCACGCCCCGCCGGGGGCTGCTCTCCCCGAGACCCCTGGAGCTTGGAGAGGGGGGTGTAGTGGGAAGAGGGGCCACTGAGGGGTGCTGATGTGCAGCCGAAAATTCAGGGTGACCGGGAGCCCCTTGTGCCGGGGCGGCAGCGCCCTGCTGCCGGTACCCCAACATCCCCTGAGGAGCAACGTGTGGCTGTCTAAGAGGTAAAGACGCGCGGCTCCCACTGGAGGGCGAAGGGACTCGTCACGCCGGTACTCAGTCATCTGCGCAGCCACGCAGGACCAAGTTCAAAGCGTGTGGCCTGGACGCTGACCGCAGGAAGTTTCTTTGATTTCCTTAGCCCCCCCTGGGTGCACCGCACGCTTCTCCCCATTCCGGCAATCTGGAGCGATTTCCCTTCCGATCCCGGAGGGCTGGAGACTCCCCCTGGACCCGCTGGGCAGTGAAGTCCATTTGCAGGTTGTACACCTCCAAAACCCTCCTGCTAGCTCTCGGCAATCCTTTTCCCCAGATCGCTTTTCGCAAACATCCTCCCCTGGCCCCACACCGATCAGACTCAATCAACAGCTCTAAAAAGTTTACATTACCCCCAGCCAAATAATAATAATAACAACAATAATAGTAAAGGAGGGAGGGGAGGTGGAGAAGGAGGGGCCTGTTGACCATACAATTCCTAGAGTAGGGAAGAAGCAGCAAGGTTTGAGGTGTTCTTGCTTTGGGCGTCCATCTCCCTCCTCCCCCCCCCCAACACCTTAGTCAAGAGACTGTCTGTCTGAAGCCATAAAAATCCAAACGTGCCACAACAGCCACAACAAAAAGAGACATTTTGTGCGTACTACACAGAAGACAGAACGTTGTGCACACTCTACTAAGGCAAAGCAGAGCTGGTGTTTATCTTTTCCAGAACTTGTTATAAACGTTCCACACTTTAAAAAAAGAAAGAAAGAAATATAAAAGGTAAGTACGCAAACTGCTGATGTTTTGTTGTCATTTTTACATTCAAAGTGAATAAGTTCCAAACACTACAATTTTGCTAGTTGTGCACCCCACCCCAATAAAATGTCAGATTATTTTCCTAGAGGGTGCAATTTTTGTAACAACCGACATGACTAATTTACAGTCCGTTTTAGCTTCGCTTTGAAGATTAGCAGAGGAAAGTTCAGCCTTTACAGTGTAAGCATTTCAAATGTCCATTTAAGCCTACTGTTCACCTCTTTCTGAATGCATATAATAGGTTACAACCTAAACAAACATTTGTTCTCTGATTTAGCTGGCTCTGTGGGGGAAGGGAACACCACCCAGCTTTCTCCTCCATCATTAATATTCCTTCCCTGACTTGTTCATTGCAGGCTAATTGAAATTCACAAAGATAAAAAGCATGCCATTTAAAACTTTGCAACCAGGGAATCTAAACATCTTAGACCTGGTGTGAACATTTCATTTCCCTATTGCATTTTTCTATTTCATTTCTGAGGCAGTCTTGGATAGGATCTCTATCATTCTACCATTTATTTCACTATTGTTTATATTTTCAGAATACAAGTTGAACAGTACATGATTCCTTTCCAACCTTAATTGCTCTGCTCCAACAATATTTATCTTTCTTGGGCATCATGTATTGTTCTATATTCTATGTTTTTTCTATCACTATGGTGTTTCCTCTTGGTTTGAATACTGAACTATTGGTTCCGACTCAGATTGCTTTTATTTCAATATTTTTGGCAGTGGAAATGACTTGTTCTTTAAAAAAAACTTTTTCTCATTAGCATCCTTCTAACTTTGTAATCTTCTTGATATAGTTCACACTTTGTAGAACGTTATAAAGTTCAAAATGTCCTGATTTATTTTCACTATCCACTTATTTTTAAGTGTATGCAAAAGAGTTCACAGATTTGGATATGCATTTACTGGATCTAAATTAAAAACTAGATTGTTTAAATCATTTTTTAATTTCTGCCCTTTATTTCTTCCTCACAAAACAGAAGATTTCATTGATGTTAGATAGCCGATTTACACGTCAGGGAACACTAAAAGAAAAGGAAGTCATTGAAGCTGATTGCAGGCCTGAACTTTATAGCTCTCCCTATACTGAGATATTGTCATGTTACTAATGCAGCCAAATTTCTTCAGAAATTTGGAGCAAAGTCCAGTTTCCCCCAACACCTAACAAAGCTAGCCTGATTTTGCTCTTCATGATGAAGAGTAGGTTAACTGCCTGAAATTGGAAAGCCAATGTGTAATCAGTGACTGAGTTCTTCCTACCCATTCCATTTAGAACATGCCCTAAAGAATCTAATCCTGGAGAAGAACCATCTAATTGGTTGGTAGTGAGTGCATTCCCATATAGGCTCGGGAGGGCAAATCTCTCTGTCTAATTATTACTCTCACACATGGATGGAGAGGGTTGCAAATTTCCCCAAGGAAATTCCACCTGAATTCCAACTACAAATTAGAAAACCTTTGTTGTTGTCCAGTTGCTTTCTTTCTTTATATCTTAAAATATTACACAGCTTCAAACTTTAAAAACAATACAGCTTTTGAACAGATATCTGTAGACCCCAGTTTGGCATGATGCAATAAGAAACTACCTTTCCTTATGCACATCACACTTTCTACAAGATACACTGTGTGTGTGTGTGTGTGTGTGTGTGTGTGTGTGTATATATATATATATATATATATGTATATATAATATATGTGTGTATGCATGTGTTAAGTCTACCATAATATACAATATATTGATGTATTATATGTACAAACATATATATATATATACAGGTATGTACATTTTTGGTAGGTAGAAAGACAACTGAACGAATAGAAATGGACCTGAGAATTTAATATTGGAATAGAATTTAAGTAACACAATTCTACAAAAGTTGAAGAGAAATTTTACAACTATGTCAACAAGAATAATTCATAAGTAAAAATTTAAGTATGTCAGTACATAATAAATGTGTATGCACTATAAGTAACTTGTTCCATGTGTATGCATCATTCAAAGGAAGAGATAAGTTTAGGAGAAGTTAGGTACTAAAAATAAATTTGCCATGTTTTCACAAAACTAAATATTACCTTATAAATATCCACCAGAATGTCAGCACAACCATGTTTATCACAGCATTATTCACCATAGCTAAGAGATGGAACCAACCCAGATGCCCTCAGTAAATGAATGGATCAAGAAAATGTGGTATATATAAATATATACAATGGAATTCTATGCTCCATCAGAAAAAATGACATTGCCCAATTTGTTAGGAAATGGAGACTTGCAAAAATTGTGTTAAGTGAACTAAGTCAGGCCCAAAGGAACAAAGGTCCCAGGTTTTCTTTATTTGCAATGACTAATACATGTCTTACTATTTTTAAAAATGATCTCAGAGTACGTCTTTTCTCATGTTTGTAGTAAATCATGAAAACAAAGAAGAAAACCAAAGGATGGAAACATTTCCT